ATAAAAATCACAGTGAGATACCATCTCACACCAGTCATAATGGCTATTGTTAAAATGACAAAAAAATAACAGGTGCTGGTGAGGTTGCAGAGAAAAGGGAATGCTTATACACTGTCATTGAAAACGTAAATTTGTTCAGGTATTGTCAAAAACAATGTAGCAATTTCTCAAACAGCTAAAAACAGTAATTGCTTTCAGTCTAGCCATACCATTCCTGGGTATGTATATCCAAAGGAATATAATTTTTTTAACCATAAAGACACATGTATGCGAATGTTCCTTGCAGCACTTTTCACAATAGCAAAGACATAGGATGAACGTATATATATCCAAATGTTCCTTGCAGCACTTTTCCCAATAGCAAAGATATAGAATCAACCTATATGTCTCTCAATGACAGATTGGATAAAAAATGTGGTACCTATACACCACAGAATACTATGCAGCCATAAAAAATGAAATTATGTCTTTTATGGGAACCTGGATGGAGTTGGTGGCCATTATTTTTTGCAAACTAAAGCAGAAACAGAACAAATACTGCAAGTTGTTGCTTTTAAGTGAGAGGTAAATGATGAGAGCACGTGGACACATATGGGTCTACTTGAGTGTGAAGGGTGGGAGGAGGGAGAGGATCAGAAAAAAATAACTAATGAGTACTAGGCCTAGCACATGGTGACAAAATAATCTGTATAGCAAACCCCCATGACACAAGTTTACCTATGTAACAATCTTGAACAGGTGCCATTGAACATAAAATAAAAGTTAAGAATGAACAAAATTGATTTGGAAAAGAACTCAAGTGCTTCTCTTGTCCCTCGTATTCCTTTCTGTGAGCAGTGATGATAACACCACTCTGTAACTTGCTATGAATTTAAAGGGATTAGATTATATGATACATCTGAAGAACCTAGTATATGCCTTACATATTTGCGTGCATTTAAATAATGACAGATATTTTTAAATTATAATTTTTCCATGGATGGTTGTTGCTTTGCATATTTTGAAGGAATTTACTACATCAACGTTCTGGTTTCTGAATTAAAATATTTACTAAATTTCCCAAGTAGCATTATATCTCAAAGTCAATGTAAGATTTATCTATAGGAAATGTATTCTGGGTGTTTTTCTTTTCACATAAAAAAAATCATCTTAACAGTCCAGGTATGTCAATGCCTTTTATTATTTCCCCAGTTGCTAATTATTGCTTTAGAAAGATACTTCATATTTATACTGTAATTTTACATTATCCAGAGCAAATGATCCTATATTTTCAAGGTGAAATATTTCATTTTTATAAATAATTTAAATTTTATTTTAGATTCAAGGGGTACATGTTCAGGTTTCACATGGGTATATTATACCCATGTGAGGTTGGTGTGTGCATCAATGCGCATACAATTCAAAAGGTAGTTTTTCAGCTTTAACTTCCTCCCCTTCTTGCCACTTCTAGCAGTCTTCAGTATCCATTTTCTCAGTCTTTATATCCATATATACCCAATGTTTAGCTCCTGCTTATAAATGAGAACATCTGGCATTTGGTTTTCTGTTTCTATGTCAATTCACTTAGGATAATGACCTACAGTTTCATCCATGTTGCTTGAAAAGATATTATTTCACTTTTTTAATGGCTATGTAGTATTTAACAGTGTATATGTATTACATTTTTTTATTCAGTCCACTATTTGTGGGCACCTATGTTGATTCAATGTCTTTTGTATGGTAAAAAATTCTGTGTCTTTTTTTTTTGATAGAACAATCTGTTTTCCTTTGGATATGTGCCCTATAATGGGATAACTGGGTCAAAAGGTAGTTTGCTTTGAATTCTTTGAGATGTCTCCAAACTTCTTTCCACAGTGGCTGAACTAATTTACATTTCCCCCCAATAGTACATAAGTATTCCCTTTCCCTGAAGCCTCACCAGCATCCATTATTATTTTGTTTATTTATTTATTATTTATTTTTCTTATTTGGCAGGTACTGGATATCCTTATCCACTATATACATATTCTTTTTTTTTCTTTTTTCTTTTCTTTTCTTTTTTAGAGGGAAAAAAGAGAAAGAAGGGGAAAGAGGGAAAAAGGAATATTACTTCATTCCTAAAATGAGTTTCAATAATGGCCGATCAATATTTTGAGTGTTCAAAGTGGTTAATGCATATTTTATGTGTTGAAAATGGAGACCTCTATTGGGTTTATTTGTTCTGGCTCTGAGTTCAAGTCCTGGATATCGTTATCAATTTGTTGTCTCGTTGAATCTAAATCTCATTATGTGTCTTATGTATCTGGGTGTTAAGATCTCTTATTGTTACATTAATCCTTTTACTCTTGCATCCTTGTAGCTTTGGAATCTATTTTGTTTAAGTGTGAGAATTGCAACTCCTGCTTTTTATTTATTTATTTTTGCTCTCCATTTGGTTGGTGAGTTTTTTTTCATCCCCTTGTTTTGAGTCTTTGTATATCTTTAGATATATCATTAGATTTTGTGGATAATGTATATTTTGTGTGTTTAAAATGGAGAGCTCTATTGAGTTTATTTGTTCTGGATCTTAGTTCCAGTCCCAGATATCGTTATCAATTTTCTGTCTCGTTGAATCTAAATCTCATTATGGGTCTTATGTATCTGGGTGTTAAGATCTCTTATTATTACATTAATCCTTTTACCCTTGTATCCTTGTAGCTTTGAAATCTATTTTGTCAAATGTGAAAATTGCAACTCCTGCTTTTTAGTTATTTTTGCTTTCCATTTGGTTGGTACGTTTTTTTTTTTTTTTTTTTCCAACCCTTTATTTTGAGTCTATGTATATCTTTGGATATACCGTTAGATTTTGTCTTTATCTTTTGATTGGGAGATTTGGTCGATTTAAATTTAGGGTTGCTGCCATTTGATATTAACTGGCTATTTTGTCCTTTCATTGATAAAAATTCTTTATGTTAATGCTCTTTACTTTTTGGTGTATTTTTAGAAAGGGTCATACTGGTTGTTCCTTTCTGTGTATAATGCTTCTTTTAGAAGTTCTTGTAAAGCAGGCCTGGTGGTAATAAAATCTCTGAGTACTTGCTTGTTCATAAAAGATTTTATTTTTCCTTCAAATGTAAAGCTTAAATTGGCAGGATATGAAATTCTGGGCTGAAAGTTCTGTTCTTTAAGTATATTGAATATTGGCCCCCACTCTCTTCTAGCTTATAGGGTTTCTGTTGAGAGATCTGCTATAAGCCTAATAGGCTTACCTTTATGGGTAACTTGATCTTTCTCTCTGGCTGCCCTTAATATTTTCTCCTCCGTTTCGATCTTGGTGAATCTAACGATTATGTGCCTTGGGGTTGGTCTTCTTGAGGAATATCTTTGTGGTGTTCTCTGTATTGCCTGGTGTTGAATAGTGTCCTGCTTTGCTAAATTAGGAAAATTTTTCTGGATAATGTCCTGGAGAGTATTTTCCAGCTTGAATTCATTCTTTTTGTCATATTCAGGTACACCAATCAAGCGTATATTAGGTCTTTTCACATAGTCCCATATTGCTTGGAGACTTTGCTCATTCCTTTTTATCCTTTTTTCTCTATTCTTGTCTTGTGGTTTTGTTTCATTAAGTTGGTCTTCGACCTCTGATACCCTTTCTTCTGCTTGATCCATTCGGCTGTTTAAGCTTGTACATATTTCACTAAGTTCTCGTGTTGTATTTTTCAACTCCATAAGTTCATTTGTATTCCTCTCTATATTGTCTATTCTTTTCAACATTTCATCTAACCTTTTTTCAAAGTTCTTAGTTTCTTTACATTGGGTTAGAACAAGTTCCTTTAACTCCCAGAAGTTTCTTATCATCCACCTTTTAAAGCCTACTTCAGATAATGGAACACAGTCCTTTTCCATCAGGGCTTGTTCCGTTACTGATGAGTCCTTTTCCATCAGGGCTTGTTCCGTTGCTGATGGGTTCTGATTTTGAGTATACTTGGCCTTCTTAGGCTGTTTTTTTCCCTTCATTGTAGATGAACCGCCTTTTTATTTTTTATTCTTTATTGGATTTTAGGTTTTGGGGTACATGAGCAGAGCATGCAAGACAGTTGTGTAGGAACACACATAGCAGTGTGCTTTTCTTTCCTTCTCCCCTTCACCCACATTTGGCATTTCTCCCCAGGCTATCCCTCCCCACCTCCCCCTCCCACTAGCCCTCCCCTTTTCCCCCCAATAGACCCCAGTGTTTAGTACTCCCCTTTCTGTGTCCATGTGTTCTCATTTTTCATCACCGCCTTTCTAATTAGGTTTCTGAGTCAACGTCTGACTTGTTGATTCACAGTGCTGTGATCCGAGCAACCCACTGTGGCAGCCTAAATAGCAGTGATAAGACTGATGGTGCTCTTCTGCCCGGGAATCTCTGGTCTGGCTTCCCTCTTGAGTCCGCAACAAGCGGCTCTGACTTCCCAGAGCTCCAAACTCCAGTCAGTAGGGGAAGCAGTCCCGTTGGCTCTGCATGAAGAGCTGCTGCGCCTAGACGCCGGCAAAACCACTGCGGCGGCCACAAGAGTCATGCTGGCGACCCGTGGGGCTCCTCCTCTGGGAATCGGCTAATCGGTGAGTGACGAAAATTCACCTAAAGATGTGGCATTATCTCATTCTCTGAGCTTTCACTGGGAGCTACAATCCTGAGCTGTTAGTGGTCAGCCATCTTGGATCGATCTCCTCCCATTATTTTATGTCTATTTAGTAATAGCCATTGTGAACAGTATGAGATAATATCTCATTGTGACTTTGATTTGCATTTCTCTGATAGTGATTTAGATCATTCTTTCATGTTTATTAGCTACTTGTATGTCTTCTTTTAAGATGTGTCTGTTTGTGTCCTGTGTTCATTTTTAGTGTTTATTTTTTTGTGTGTGTGTTGCTGTTGTTGTTTCGCTTGTTGAGTTGTTTGTTTAAGTTTCTTAAAGACTCATTATAGTAGGCCTTTTTGGGTACAAGATTGGTGAACATTTTCTGCCATTCTGTGAGTTGTTTTTTCACTCTGTTGAAAAAATATAAAATGCTTCATGAATGTGCATGTTATCCTTGTTCAGGGGCCATGAAAATTTTCTTTGTATCATTCATAATTTTAGTATACGTGCTGTCAAAGTGAGCCTAACTATTCCATTCTGAGGGGTGAGGGGTCAGAGTAATGAAGGATGAAAATGTCTTGAAATAGTTGAGGAAGATGCCTGAGAAGAGAGTGTGGTCCTCCAGCTGTGGTTCAGGAACAGCTACTCCTTCTTCCCAGTTTTTCTGCTCAGTCTGAAAGGTGTCAAATGCATTTTATTACAATCAACTTTTCTCTTGACCGTTTTGATAACTGCAATTAAGATGTATTTTTTACATGAAGTATTTACATGAAGACTTTCCATTTTTCAGTCTATCCCAGTCAAGATATTTTCAAATAAAATCAAATCTTACTCATTTTTATTACTTGTTTATTTTATATTTATAATCTCTGAGAAAATGTGTAGGTATATTTATATTTCTATATATATTTTATATATATTTAATATATATAGGAATATACCTAGGTATATTTATATTCCTATATGTATATTATATGTATAGGAATATATTAAGGTATATTTATATTCCTATAATTTTATATATATAGGAATATATTTAGGTATATTTATATTCCTATATATTTTATGTCTATAGGAATAATAATGTGAGATAAAGCAACACATATTTATAAATGAAGAATTGAATCATCATGATATTTATAAGTAGGAACAAATTTATAAAACCAGGTTAAAAATGTACCTGGGAAGTCTAAAAATCATGTAAGAAATCTACATCAAAATTTTCAAACTTGTTCTTAGTTGGAAAATCTTTTCTAAAAATCTAATTTTAGATAAGCCCAATATATTAGAGGAAAGAATCTCTATCATTGAAGTAATGGAATGTAAAACTTAAAAGAAGTAAGTTACAAAAAAAAAAACACTTTGGGATAACAATTTCATTAATTTTTGTGGTAATAATTTGATTTTAAAATGCCAAGTTTCATTAAATAACATTTATATTTATTGTTGACATTAAAAAAGAACTTTTCTTACTCAGAAATGTAAGTTATTTGAAAAACGTAGCATGTATACAAATTGTGATTAATGTTTTGAGAATTTGCACATATCTAGTATTTGACAGATTAATCAATGATGGGCATTTTATTGAAAATAAGCAGCTGTAAGAACTTCCTAGGTATTATACAGAGTATAAGGATGAAATAGACATGATGTCTTTCTTAAGTATGTTATAGTGTAAAAAATGAATCAGTAAGTACATAAATAATTATGACACAAAGTATAAAAGATGGAAAAATAAAACATTAATTGCAGAGGAAAATAATGATTCTCTTTGGATGTTTAATTTTAGCTAGGTCTTTAAATTTATATGAACTTTATATAAGGATGAAAAGATATTTTAGGCAAATAAGTATGAAAAACCAAAAGGTTTGGAAGTATGTATCTATATGGAGATTTGTAAATATTTCACTTAGCAAAAATGGAATTATTGAAGAAAACCTATGAGGAAAGCTTAAAATTAAATTGTAGAGAACATTAAATGGTAGATTAAGGAATTGTGACTATTTTGTATTCAATAGGAAATAAATTTAATTGTATCTTTTAAAATGTTTTAATCATACTATTTTCCTATATTGGAAAATAATATTTATTTTACAATACTGAGAAAATAAAAATATACAACAAAAAATTGCCCCATATAAATCTCTGTGATCACTTTATCTTTTTCATTTTCTTTAGGGCTCTATTCAAGTATTACCTTATCAAAGAGGATTATCCTGACCACTCTATTTAAAATATAGTAACCTTCACCTATTCTGTATTGCCTAATCAATAACTGCTTCATCTTTATTCATTTTAGTTATTATTGATGGGCATAGCATTTGTGTACTTGTTATTTTTGTGTGTGTTTTTTTCTGTGTGTCATTTATTGAGAGATTCAGGAATATGTATCTTTTATTCATTCTTGTATTGCCAATACAAATAAAGTGTATATTGTAGTTGAAATTTATTAAATATTTTTAGCAAGTGAAAAATAAAGTCATACTGTACTTATTGATTTATTTGCTTGTCTATCACATATTTAAATTATCTAAAATGATCCAGGTTGCTATATCCTGGTAATATAGTAATGAAAGCAACAAACTAGATTTCTGGCTTTCATTTATGTCTGGTTCCTGTACACAAATGTTATTGCACACAGCTTGAATTTTTGAAAAATTACCTACTGCTATTTAGAACCTGACAAATAATAGGTATTTTCATTTGTTTTAGTTCATTATCATACATTTTGATGTTAAATATAATAACAAATTTAAGGATAAAAACACTAATTCTTACTTTATGTTAGAGCCATTAATATCATCTTTGCAAATTTGCTCACCAACTATTTAAGGTCTAAGAATAATCAGCACCTTTATATAAACATATGTTACATAGTATATTCTCTTTACTTATAGAGTTTACCATCCATACCTCCTTGTTAAGAGTTTTTTAAGATTTCAATTAATTGTGTTACAATTGCTGAAAAGATTATAATGTATTCAGGCTTGCTTCCAGAGATATAATCTACACAGTGTGAAAAGACTGCAAGCAGGGATATATTTCCTAAATATTGGGGTAATTCATCCATATGAATATACCACTATTTATTAATTTCTGCATTTGAACATCTCCAATACAAGCTATAAGGATGATGGTTCTTGGCCTCCTGTATTTGGGTTCATGGTGTTGAAAGAGGGCTCAGGGCATTGAGGTTAGCATCACAGTTCACTGGGGCTGAGTAACTAAAAAATGGTTAGATTTTTCATGAGGATAGTGAATACCTGCATGCATACTATCTTTTTTCATTCCATATACATGTCAGAAATACCATCACAATGCTTTCCCAATGAACACAGGCACTTTAGAGTCACTCTCCACAACTACTACACATCTGCCAGAGTTGATACGTGGTATGTGACTTAAAACTTATATTTCTCTTTCTTTCTGGTTAGGTTATTTGATGATCTTGACTACATGATAGCCAAGTTGTCTGTTTGGCTCAGTTTTTATTATCCTCAGAGTCTATCCTAGATTTGCTTTATTTGTACTGAAATAATATCAAATGAGTAAGAGGAAATTTATACCAGTTAAATATGTGATATAATTATGACAATTATAACTTCTGGGAAGTATTTCCAAATCTAGTATAATGTTATGGAGGAAACTGTAACACCTTGGAATTGGACTAAACACCATTTATCACCTAATACAACCTCTTCATTTTTTATATGAGGAAGCAGAGCTTTAGAGAAGTTCAGTGGTTTTTCCACAGGCTCACAGGCAAAGAATGGCAGAGTTCTGCGTGCCTATTATAACATTGTGTGATCCACGATAGTACCAAATAGTCTAGACTACATATAATAATTTTTCAATCCTTATATTTGAAAATTGCATTCTTTCAGACTCTGACACAAATTTAAACTGAAGGCCTAAATTAAAAGTCATCTCAGTACAAATGGAATGCCCTTGGAAATGTGGAATCTGCTCAGGCCTTCAAAAGTATTAGAAAAGAGTAGGATGAATCCTGAAGTTTAATATTAATTTCTCACACAGAAATGGCAGGATATTCTTAATCTGCTACACATCTGAAGTGGCTAAGGTTTAGTTTTGTACTTATTAATATAATTTGTAATTATTTTCAAACAGTTAGGCTTCATTTATTTATTTATTTTTCACACAGCCCCTAACTGCAGTACTTACCTCCATGATTTTGGCCATTTGACACATTCTAGAATATTTCTTAAAATTAAATAAATGTTTGTAAAGCTTTATAAAGAATTAAAAACAATATGTTAGTGTGTAATTAACAGTCATCAAATATGTCTTAGTCTGAGGGGTTTCAGTGTAAGATGATAGCATGATATAAAAAATAAAGGAAGAACATTTTTCTCTCCACAGCATGTACTTACTTTCCCGCATCAAAATGTGTACCCACATTGAAATGAAACATATTATCTTAAATTGTTGACATGCTTAGTGAAAAATAAAATTGTAAACATCTAAAAATTATAAAAATAAAAAGTATGAGAAAAATTAACGAAAAAATATATAAGGTCTTTTTTATAACTCTCTGTAAAATGCAAATTTTAAATCAGAATAGAAACCTAACATAATGTTAAATTCTAAATGATCAGCCTATGAAATATGACCCCAAACTGTCTACTTCCCTCCATCTGCATTGCCACTATTACAATAATATTTTAAGATACCTTTTTATATATTATTGCAGGTTTCCTATTGCAATAATATTTTAAGATACCTTTTTTCTAAGATTATTCTCCACTCCTTTTAATCCACTCTTTTTTTTTGGCATTCAGAATCATTTCTGCTCTTCTCTCACTTAAAAATATCCCATGAATTCCTACTGTCCTGAGAGTGAAATTTGGAATCTACCATGTATTGCTCATAAGGTCCTACATTGAACAGCCTCTACTTCTCTGACTTCATCTAGTAGCCATTTTGCTTCCTTTAGTATACTCCAACAATAGCCTTCTTCTTCTTCTTTTTTATTTTTCTGGAATTGTCAAGCCCCTTCTTTTTCTATGAACTTTGTACAGACATTCTCCAAGATTTTCTTGGCATAGACCTCTTGTCATTCACATGTAGATCAAATGTTTCCTCCTCATAGAAGCCTCTTTGGTTATTCTATCTGAAGTCATTTGCACCTTATCTTGCTTTTTCTTCAAGCAAGTATCTCAATGAAAATTATCTTGTATAATTATCTGTTTCTTCATGCCTTAATTAAGCACCTCAATAGAAGAACTTTGTCTGCCATATTTACAGGCATGTCTTATTTTATTTTGCTTCACTTTATTGTGCTTTGCATATCGTGTATGTTTTACATCTGCAAAGGTTTTTGGCACCTGTGGCTCATTCAAGGTTTGTGTCACCCCTGCAGTTTACAAATCTTTGGTAACATTTTTCTAGCAGCGTGTGCTCACTCAGTATTTCTGTGTCACATTTTGATAATTCTCCCAATATTTCAAACTTTTCAATGTTATTATATTGGTTATGGTGATCTGTCATGAGTAGCCCTTTGAT